GCATGTTAACAAGAAGCGGGCTATGGGGGGGCCCCGCCCCGGGCATGTGGCTGGGGGGGGCCGCCCCCGGGCGGGCAAGTGTCCCCGCCCCCTGGCGCCCGGCGGGCGAACGGCCACGCCCCCTGGCGCCCGACAACCTGAAAAGGTTGGGGACCACTGTATTAGAGGTCTGTTGCCCCTCTAAGGGACCAATATTCCAGAATTTGTTATTTTAACTGGAGTTACTGAATGGTTCAGTTTCTAGTGGATTTGTATTGATCTTACTATATATTTTGGAGATGTGAGGCTATCTGTCTGCTGCTCCATTTGTTCAAGAACTCCTAAACAGTAAGAGCTAAGACCACCAAATTTGCAGGCACCTTCCTCTTATCACAACGTAATGCAAGGTCAGGGTTTGGTTGTGCCAGGACAATGGGGTGTGCCTGGAATTCAGTTGTTTCTCATAAAGCAGAAAGGGAGGAGTCTAGTAAGAGGGACAATTATACTACAAAATGATCATGGTCGGGGGGGAGGGGAGAGCAGCAAGGGGCCAGAGATGGGGACTGGGACAGCTAGAACCCTATTGGGCAAGCATGGAGCAAGGGTGGATGAAGTGACAGCTATCTATTATATAGTTCAGAGAGTTTGTCTGTTTGTGGGTCTGTCTGTCCCTCAAGCAGGGGACATGCACCCCTCCCCCAATGGTGCCAGCTGCAGCAGCCATGGAGAAGCGTTTCTCACCTGGCCCCAAGCTGCTCTGGTGGGAGAGGGCTGCGGTTGTCCTCTCTCCACATGGCAGCCTGTACACCGAACCCCTCATCTCCAGCCCAACCCAGAGCAATGATTTAAATGAAGAAAAACAAAATCTATTTGAATTAAGGACCCGAGCAATGTGGGATAAATCTTCTATTTACAAATAAAACATATTTAACTACAAAGAGAGAGATTTTGAGTAAAAGTATCAAGCATTAAAAAGTCAGAAATGGTTACAAGAGAAATAAAGATAACATGCTTCTAAAACTTATCACTTTGCTTGAGGTAAAATCCTTAGCATGTATTCCCAGGATTGACCAAATTATCAGGTCAGGATCTCCTCCAATATCAAAGGGTTCCTTTATCTTCTTAGGGGAAAGAAAGAGAGGGAGGACGCTGCACTTTGGAGTATTTTTGCCCCTCGTCCTTTCAATTCTACTGAGGACTGCCCCTCAAAGCAAAGTTTATTCAAACAGCAAAGAAGGCAACATGCTCCTACATCAGGGGCTGCTCAGGCCAGGCCAGCATGCTTTTGGGGAGTAGCCACCTCATAAGATTGCCAGGTGTCCGGTATTGATCTGGACAGTCTGGTATTTTCGCCTCCTGTCCGGTAAAAAAAATTCAGAAAATGACAGACACCTAAAATGTCTGATGTTTTTTCATTTTTCTTTCTGGACAGGAGGTGAAAATCCCAGGTGCTTACCTAGTTCCGCAGGGGAGCTCTCTGCTTAACTCTCCGGGTCCTTTTTTTTTTTTTTTTCTCAACAACTTTGGTCGCCCCCTTTTTTTTCCCTAGTGGGTTTTTTTTTGAGGGGGGGGGGAGGCCGAGGAGTGTTCGGTATTTTTGGTTAAACCATCTGGCAACCCTACCACCTCAACTGTCCTATGGATGAGTCCCAGGGCAGCCCAGGGGATTAACTGAGGGGAGGAGCCATCTCACCGTGCTAGGCTTCACCATGGACAACAGGAGACAGTGGACTCGGAGAGGGTATTGGGACAGAGCGGACCAGGCTTTTGGGCCACGCTGGCTCCTGCTGCTGCAGTGACTATGGGGGAGGGGGCCCTACTGCTGCCCCATGCCAGGCTCCGTAATCCCCCAGCTCACATTGCTTGGGGGAGGGGTCAGAAAGGAGTGGACGCAGAGCAGGAGTGGAAAAAGGGATGGAGTGGGAGTGGAGCAGGGCAGGCAGTGGGAGGGGCTTGCCCTAAGCTTCACCACCCCCAAGGGCTGGCTTTCCCAGAGTCTCATAGTACTCAACACCCTGCTTTGGGGGACTATCAACAGACAAAGTGCCTGAGAAAACAAGAACGATTTCTCCTCTTGGAACTAGTAGCTATAACTGCTTTGTCTGTCAACCAGAACACTGTGTAGAGCCAATGTGGTTACTAAGGGGTTATGCTTGGGGGACTAAGGCTTATTAAGATGACAACGCATTGTATAAACCAGGAGCGGCCAACCCGTTCCAAACGAAGATCCACAATAGCAGTGGAGACAGCGTAAACAGAACTCTGTCGAAAATAGTGTTATTCCTCGTAAAACGAGGTTTACCACCATCGACAAAACCGCCGCGTTCTGTCGCCTCACTGTTGTCAGAACGCGGCGGTCGTGTAGACACAGGTATCGTTTTTTTGAAAAAAGGCCACTTTTTTCTAAAAAAACCCTGTAGTCTAGACACACCCAAAGAGAGGAGAAACTGCTTTTGTAGTTGGCTAGCCATTCACAGTCTTTGTTTAATCCTAAAATAATAGTGTCAAATTTCAGAGGAATTGTAGCTCTGCAGTTTCTCTTTGACGTCTGTTGTTAAAGTTTTTTCATTGCAGCATGGCTACTTTTAAATCTGCTATTGTGTGTCCAGGGAGACTGAAGTGTTCTCCTCCAGCAGGGGTGGCCAACCCGTTAGAGACGAAGAGCCAAAATAGCGGTGGACAGAGTGCAAAGAGCCACATTCCCGGCGGGAATGTTGTTGCGCAAAAACAAAAAAACAGCCGCACCGGGGGCTGGAGTGCCTGAGGGGCTCAGGGCTGGGAGGCTGGGAGTATGATGGGCTCAGGACACAGATTTGCAGTGTGGATGGTGCAGGAGTGTTGTGGCAGAAGACTGGGGCTGTGGGGGTGCAGGAGTTTGGGGATGTGAGAGGCTCAGGACAGGGAGTTCCAGTGTATGATAGGCTTAGGTTTGGGGTCTGCGTGTGTGTGTGTGAGAGAGTGCAGGAGTGTAACAATGCTGCGGCCAGATGGGGCTTAGCCCCAATTGGGGGCTTGCTGGCCAGGCTTCATTTTTAAATAAAATATTATGTCAAACACAAAATGTTTCAGTGTTATCTTTATTTATGAGAGGGGCAGGGAACCTGTTTTGAGTCAAGGATCACTGACACACAGAAAAGTCAGTCGGGGCCACACAGATGAGATGCAAAAAGACCCTCCCCTCAACCTCCCCCCAAGCCTCACTAATGTGGCCCCAACTGTGCTGGTGGGGGCAGGGGACAGGGTGCGGGGCAAGGCGCCTGGTGAGTGCTAGGGCAGGGCACTCGTGGGGGATGGGGGTCTGGCCAGGAGGATGGGACAGAGACAGCTGGGGCCAGTACGTGGGGATCCTGTGTCTCAGGAAGCGCGCTGGCTGCTCTTCCCCTCCCTCAGGCACCCCCCCTGCTCTAACCCAATCCTCCTCCTCTTCCCCAGAGCCAGGCACACACACCCCTAACCCAGAGGCAGAGCTGTCACTGCTGCAGGGAAACCTGGGGAGGGCTAGCCTCCCACTAGTTCGAATTAAGGGGCTACACACCCCTTAATTCGAACTAGCTAGTTCGAACTAGGCTTAATCCTCGTAAAATGAGGTTTTCCTAGTTCGAACTAAGCGCTCTGTTAGTTCGAATTAAATTCGAACTAATGGAGCGCTAGAGTAGCACCTATGAAAGTTAGTTCAAACTAACGTCCGTTAGTTCGAACTAACTTTGTAGTGTAGACATACCCAGAGAGAAAGAATTCAAAATAAAGAGCTGAATCTCCCCTAAACCTTTCCCCAGAAAGACAGAAGGGGACCAATTCTGGGTCTGCATCCTATCCAACAATTCAGGGGGAAGGAGGACTAGGGAGACAGCATCAGGACAGGTAGGAAGAATATTAAGTCTGCCGTGAGGACGCCACATCTCCTGAAAACAACCCTGAACTCAGAGAGCTCACAAGGAGTTTGTAGGATTTCTAAATATTTCTTTAATTCCAGGACAGACTGTGAATTGGTTTTAACTGATTTCTCACCTGTACAGGCATTTCTCAGGATCTCTCTTTCCTCAGAGCTCTGGAGGTCTGAGACCCATGGGTCCTCCCCTCGTTCTAGCCAGGAAATTACATCTGGTTTGGGAACTGGAAACCCTGTACAAGTGACACGAAACAGGGGAGGTCAACAACATTTGAAGGATATTTTGTACAGCTACAGCCCTGTCCCAGCAACATGTCAGCAACACTCCAGTCACACACTGGCCACCACTAGCTTTAGTTAGTATGTGCAGGGTGGGCCCCAAACACTCGCACTATCAAATTTTTCCCAAAACTTGTGTTCTGCACTGACCAGACCTCTCCTGCACTGTTCACATATTAGAGCCGTGGTCCCCAACCTGGTGCCTGCGGGCGCCATGGCGCCCGCCGGGCCCTTTACATGCACCCGTGGAGCAATCTGGGCTGGAAGGTGCCACAGGCGTGCGGCAGGTGCCAGCCCCGGGCGCATGGCCAGCCCCGGCCCCGGGTGCACCGCGCATG